GGCCGTAAAGTCGAAAAAAGTAATACTACTTACCTCCAGTCAACTACCAATATTCCATTTGTAGATTGCCAAAATTAATAACTCACTGTATTAATTAATATGCAAGTATTAGGGGTCCATTTACTGATTTTTGCCCTTAACAATTGGGTAAACTGTCCCATTAATTATTGAATTTTAGATTATGTATCGATTTTAATATTAAATTTTAAAATATTTTAATTTTGATAGTAAATTTATCTTATGTTTCGATTTATCAAATTTAAAACGACATGATTATGTGAATAATAACTTTTGTCAATGTGACAACGTGAAGTTTGAATGTTATAAAAAGATGTAATAACGACGGTTGTACAAATATTTTTATATATAGAAAAGATGTACGTATAAACATCTGTATTTGATATTTTAAGTATTTAATATTTTTGAACCCATTGAGTGGTCTCAATCGTAAAATAAAATATTATTTTCTCGAGAGGACATGCGTTCGCACAAGTGTATCTACAAAGGGTACGTACGTCATCAACTGACTAAGAAACTTCTGAATAGATACAATGTTGTAATTACTTCGTATCATTAAAAAGTATTTAAAATTATTTATTTAAACAAAAAATTCGTAGGGGGATTTTTGGTGGGCTAGTGAAGCTTTATTATTGCTGTTGTTATGTTCTGTCATTCTTTTTTAAACAGTACGTAGAGTAAGCTACTAATTAAATTAACAAAAGAGAAGGAAAATTAGAAACAAAAAAAAGTCTATTTTTTAGACATTATTAATTTAGCTGGAGACGGTCCATTATCCATATTTAATGTCTGCAAACAATAACACCATCACTAGCATTATATGTATATTAAGGAAAACCATTATCTTTTTCATTGGCACAGGTCTGGTACATTAACAATAATTATTTCGATAATTTTCACATCTTAATCACTTAAATTTGATTATTTAATTATAAAACTCCAATATTTGTAAAAAAGTAATCATTTAATATTTCTAAATAATTAAAAAAATGAATTATGTTTGTTGAGATTTAATTAGATTGACTATAATTTTGAAAGCACACAAGCTTAAACGTATTTAGTAATAGAACATGTATAATACTAAATAAGGTAAATAGATAAGCTGCAATCTTTTCTCTACTTCTTTATTATAAGAATCTCAAAGTCCAATTATGTATTAAATAATATTTAATTTAATGAATAAACAAATGTATCGTAATCTTCTAATAATTCGATGAAAAATAAATGAGATGTTAAGGATATGTAATATTTTAATTCATAAAAAAATAAGGAGAAGACTTTATAAATTGAATATTATAATTTAGAAACTTTGTATTTTGTTTGAAGATTTAATTATTTGTAATTATTAAAATTCTTGGGTAAAGTACATAAACGATCCATGACTATAGGGCATTGTTTTGTTGACTCGATCGACTATTAAAAGTTATAAAATGATTAATCGACTATTCATTATATTATAAACTGTCTTTTTCTAGTCCGTACTTTACCCTAATTTGTGTTCTTTTTTTTGCCCTCCCGATTCCAGGACTTCACCCTGATTAATCCAGATCGACCCGCGTCGCACGTCTGATTTTGATGGGTGAGTCTCTCAACGGGAATTTTCTACATACATTGGGACTCGAATCCAAGACATTACTTAAGCGATATTAAGTTGTTTACCACTTGAATCAGCCTGTTGGTGATATTTTTATTAAAAGTTATATAAAATCGTATCTTTTTCTTCGGGATCTTTTTAAAATAGTGTTAATACTGTTTAAATTTAAATATTATTTAAAATTATGATATCATCTAAAACAAATCACAAATAGTATTACGGAGAAGTGTATCGTGTGTTGTTGCCTTATGTGTGTGTATTTAGTGCGTCATTGTCAATGTTTCTGGTAGATTTTGTCCCATTAGTTGAGTAGCATGACAAGGGCGGCCAAGCTTTCTTTCTTCTAATTATAAATCAAAACTTTGAATGGTTGTGATTAGCATGATTAATGATGTATGATTCTTCTATATTGTAACACTCAAAGTATATATATATATATATATATATATATATATATATATATATATATATATATATATATATATTTAAAAAACCATAAAAAATGACAAATCTCTCAGTTGGGTCACTATTTGATGTTCATTTTGGGTGTCATTGACGTTAACAAAGAATATTAAAACTAAAATTATTTTTAAATTTATGTTTTTTTTATTATTTTCGATTTTGGACCTACTTAATGCATTATTATTGTCATTGATTATCTCTCTTAATTCATGCAGAAATTATAGTTAAGCAAAAAAAATCCAAAAAATAAAGTAAAGAATTAGTTATATAAAATTTATACTGCTTAGACTTTCTGTTATTAACAAATCGAAAAATATTAAAAATTTATAGAAAGCTGCGGGTTTTATTAAAAATATAAAATATTCACCAACGGATATTGATTCAAGTGGTAAGCAGTTTAATATCACTTAAGTAATGTCTCTGATGTTCGAGTCCTTGTGCATGCAAGAAATCCTTGCTGGGAGACTCACTCACCAAAGTCAGGTGTGCGACACGGGTCAGTCCAGATTAATTAATGCAAAACATTGAAACTGATGAGCAACAAAAATATATATAAAATATTAAAAATTACAATGAAAATTTACAAACATAATCGTAAACATAAAATATAATTAGGACATTTTCTTATTACAATTGACACAAAAATTAGTCATCTGGAATACATAAGGACCAAAGAAGAAAAAGTTTAAAAATCCTAACCAAAAAGTTCAAACAAAATAAAGATACGAACAAATATGACTGCATCGGCAAACAAACTACAAAAGAGGATGAAACTACTGAAAGACCACCGATAAATCGTAAATCAGAGTCGAGCAGCATGAGAATAAATTTGACTGCATCGGCAAACAAACTACAAAATATGATGAAACTATTAAAAGATCACCGATAAATCGTAAATCAGAGTCTCGAGCGACATGAGAAAACTATACACGAACACAAAACGCATATCCAAATCAATCCGAGGGTTTAAAAGTATGGAAGATCAACATGATAACAAATAAGCACTATATTGATCAATTATAACGATGTCAAATCCAACCATAAGAAAAAATATAAACGAAAATAACAGCAAAAAACCAGAAAACTACCAAAAGGAAAAGGTAAATGTGCAACAAAGACAGAGATAAACGTGTCATAAAGACATAATTATTGTTATGAAAAAAATTAAAATAAAAATAAAATTAAAAGACAATAAACGGTCGACAACATGCATCAAAATCGATACAATCACCGACTAAACAAAATCAAAGAAGAAAAAAACGATTTCATCTATAAAAATATTAAACGTTCAAGTATGTTCAATCTCACGTCTTCTTATATAACATACTAATTGCAATATAAGCTGAAAGAGAAAAAAGTAAAACTCAACCAAATTAAACATTCTATCTCGTATATATTACATGCAATGTTGATGAAACAAAATATAGAAGAATAAAAAAGATGATAGTTTACCGATATTTGTCTTGGATTAAATAGTTTATTTCTTATACACTAGCTTCAATAAGAAAAATAAAATAAAAATGATCTTGTAATAATAAAATCTCAAAAAATATATAATCCTAAAATGGTATTTTCTTTAAAAAAAATTGAAAACAATTATATATTTTACTGTAAACTTAAAATTAATTATTCTAAATAATTGTTCACACGTGTATACTAATTTTTTAATATTCATTTTTTTTATTTCGACCGCAAATAAATAATTTCACAGTTAAAAGTCAAATAAAAGATTATTACTATTAAAAGTTATATTTGAAAGAAATTCCAAACTTCTGTTTTGAAACCTTCCAGATAAAATCAAAACTAATAAAAAATCTAGGATATATAGATTACATAATATTTGACTTGGATTTGATATATTTATAGTTTTTTTTTCTAAAAAATATAGACTTTGAAATTATATATAATTAGATTATGTAATAATTAAATGTTAATATTATAAATATATAATTAAGCATTTTCATCGTGCAAGCATATTATTTTGTATTTTAAGATCTATATATATTTATAGATTGTAAAGTGAATATAATGTATACACTGTGCATGGCATACGCCGACATTTTGAAAGAATCTGCTTTTTTTTTTATAATATAAAAACAATATGAAAAATATAAAACAAAACAGATCAACCAATGAACCAAATGAGCTTATTAATCTCTAAATTAAAAATAAAATTTGAAAATTTAAATCAATTAAAATCCGATATACTCTTTTTTATTGTTGTATAATATTGCAGCTAAAATTTAATAACAATATTATCCTAATTTGTCAACAAACAGCAGTGAAGATCCTACAACACATTAATGCCTTAATCGCAGGCTTTTAGCTTCTGCCATCTATTAAATCACAACTCAAAGCTCACCTTTTCCTGTCGCTCTCTCTCTCTCATTTCTCTTTCTCTCAAGCTCACAACTTTGGTTTCTCTTTGAGCAGTTCACCGGCATCGACCTTGCCGGGATCTGGTCGGAAGTTTCACCGGAAAATGCATGAACCTCAATGAGCTTTTCCCCATTTTTAGCATTCTGTTGTAAGCTAAAGAAACAAGCTTTTTGGATCGGTTTGAAAGACAGCTTTTTGGGGGAAAGTTAGTGGAGATTTAGTTGAAACGGAATCATAGAAATTCTGGGTTTTTCTTATTTTGGTAATGTATGTGGAGAGTTGACGAGGTTTTAGCCAAAACAAGTGATTTTTTTTTTTAAATCTGAGTTTCTTTTTTCTTTCTCAAGTTTTGCTTTTGGTAAGCTTGGTGGAGCTGTTGTTTCTAGGTGAAATTATAGTTTAGTTGTTCCAAAGAATCTTAGGCTTTAGTTAATTTTTTAATGCAAAAGTTTAGTTATAAGGGAAGTTTAGAGATTCAAGGAGTTGGTGATTAAGTTGGTTAAAATTATCAGAAATCACCTCATCTTGTTACAAAAAGAACCTGAAGTTTCACAGGGAGTTTTTTTTTATGCATTATATTTGATTAAAAAGCCTGAATTTTGGATCAAGTGGAGCGGAAATTTGAACTCAAGTATTTGTTGTTTATGAGTTGAGAAGGGATAATTTAAAATGTGTAGACTAGAAGAAACAAGTGGAAAGTGTGACTACAAGAAACAGTGGGAAATGAAGATTAAGATCTTTGGGGAAGGGAAAGTGGAGAAGTTAAAGAATTCAATGGTTTCAAGGCCTAGAATGAAGCTATGGACGTTAAGGGTATTAACCACAATTTTGTTATGGACTTGCTTTATTCAATTGATGACACTGGGAGAAATGTTTGGTCCAAAATTCATGAAAGGTTGGCCTTCTTGTTTCACTCAATCTGATTCTGAATTGCCTTTGGTTCCTGAATTGTCTTCTATTCCACCAAAACTCATCCTTCCTCCCAAAAGTAAGTTTCCCAAGGTTTCTCTGTTTCAATGTTAATTTCTATGTAAATGAAGATATCCCATTTCCCCATCTGATGTGATTTTAATTTGCAATTTCTTGTGTATGCCATCATTAATTTCAACAACTTTCGTTTTTGCTCTATAATTGGTGTTTCTCTGCAGTATTTCCTTTTCTCCTGAACAGCCAAATTTTGCTAAAGATGCCTTTTTAAGTCCTTAACAAATCTTTTGCTTCTTATGTTAATTTGCCTGTGAATCTTTTGCTTCTATGGGGCTTTATATTTTTCGCTATCAAGTTGTCTATGATTACTGTTCTTATTTGATGACTGTTTTCTGCAGGGTTATATAAGAACAATGGTTATCTTATGGTTTCCTGCAATGGAGGACTTAACCAAATGCGAGCCGCTGTAAGTCGATAATTGGTTTTTCTTCTCGTAACTTTCCTGTTCAGATGCTAACTGTTTTGTTTCGTTTCCTGATTCTATTCGCAGATTTGTGACATGGTTGCCATTGCCAGATACCTAAATGTCACGCTTATTGTCCCGGAATTAGATAAAACCTCATTCTGGAATGATCCTAGGTACATGTTGTTTATATATCTTTGTTTATGGACAACTAAAAGGTTTTAGAATTATGCGTTGAAATTCAACATGGTCGTCTAATTGGTGTTCGTGATATCAGTGAGTTTAAGGACATTTTCGATGTTGAACATTTCATTACTTCCTTGAGGGATGAGGTTCGGATATTGAAGGAACTACCACCTCGAGTTCAGCAACGGGTTGATCAAGGAATGTTCCTCTCTATGCAACCCGTCAGTTGGTCCGATGCTTCTTATTATGTTCATCAGGTTAGTTTTCTATAGCTTGAAGATGTAATAAGCTTTGGTGGCTTGGAATTGTTTACTATTCATTGAATTGCAGCTAATTTCTGGAGTTATTGCTTGCAGATTCTTCCTCTTGTGCGAAAGCACAAAGTTGTACAGTTGAATAAAACCGATACTCGGCTTGCAAATAATGAACTACCCCTCGAGATTCAGAAGTTGCGCTGCCGTGTAAATTTCAATGCGCTGAGATTTACTTCCCAGATCGAGGAATTGGGTAGAAAAGTTGTCAAGATTTTAAGGGAGAGAGGCCCTTTTCTCGTGCTTCATCTCCGATATGAAATGGACATGTTGGCCTTTTCCGGCTGCACTCACGGCTGCAACAGCGAGGAAGAGGAAGAACTTACGAGAATGAGGTAAGCCATTATGCTTGTTTGTTGTTTCAATAACTATAAATTTTGTCAGCCCTTCACTAATCACGGCGAATCCGATGCTATCAGGTATGCTTATCCCTGGTGGAAGGAAAAAATAATAAATTCAGAAATGAAAAGGAAAGAAGGATTGTGCCCTTTGACACCAGAAGAAACAGCTCTAGTATTAAAAGCCCTCGGTATTGATCGCAACGTCCAAATTTACGTTGCTGCTGGAGAAATTTATGGTGGCGCAAATCGGATGGCTCCGCTGGCAGAAGCATTTCCTAATTTGGTCAGTAAACTGTAGTTTATGCATCTACAATGCTTATGTATATGCCCTAACAATCGGCATTTCTTGTAAAACAGGTCAGAAAGGAGACTCTACTTCGATCGGACTTGAAATTCTTCCAAAACCACTCATCCCAAATGGCAGCATTGGATTATCTAGTCGCCATAGAAAGCGATATATTTGTTCCGACATATGATGGAAACATGGCCAAAGTTGTCGAAGGCCATCGGAGGTAACATATCGATCCTAAAATTTACACTTCACCATTCTTTTCTTAGCTCATATCATATCGATGGCATCGAGTTTGGTCTGATTTACATTGGCGATTTCCCTGTTTAACACGTTCCAGATTCTTGGGGTTCAAGAAAACTATCTTACTAGACCGAAAACTTCTAGTTAAGTTAATAGATCAATACCAAAATGGATTGTTAAGCTGGGACGAGTTCTCCGATACCCTGAAGGAAGTTCATTCGAATAGAATGGGAAACCCGAACAAACGGGTCGTTATTCCGGATAGACCGAAAAAAGAAGAATATTTTTATTCGAATCCACATGAATGTCTACAACTGTTGGATGAACCTTTGAGAAGAAGATGAGGTGAATAACGGTGGTTAAAGTATGATCTTCAATTACACTTGTACTTAAAATACGTATTTATTATCAAACATTCTCAAATAATGCAGATCCCAATTTGTATTCGTTAGGCTATTGCTTTTTATTTTCAGCCATGGACCATGGTTCCCAAGATTAAACTTGGCAGATTTTTTATAATTAGCTTAGCATTAAGATAATCAAACTGGGTTCGAATCCCGTTTGCGAATGGAGCAAACTGGGTTGGGAGGATCGCCCTTCCTCTGTAGTATCCGATTTGGATTAGTCGATCAATAGATCAGATACAAAAAAAAAATACATCAAAATCAGAATTAGACATTTTTTGATGTATTATCGCCAAAAGAAACATAATTATATACGGATTTTATTCCAAGAAATTACAGTACATTGTTCAAAACATAAACTCCCATTAAAAAAAATGGAAAACGACTCGTGCACCAAGAAATTCCACTTTGGAGAATTCAAAATCCCTAGAAGTCTCACTCCTCTTTAAAATACATAAAATTTTGGATGGTTGAGTTGAAGAAATAGAGGAAATTGTGGGGTGATCCAAGAAAGAAAGTTGGAAACTTTGATAAAAATCAAAACTTGGTAATTGCGGGGTGATCCAAGAAATCACCCAAATCCCACTAAGTAGTCAAAGCCATGTGTGGCACGTCCTACCCCCTCAAAGTGCACTATTCCCTATGAAGTTTCAAACTTTTCATGAATATCCAACAACCCAAAATTAAATTAAATATTTATATAAATTTATACAACATTTAACTTTGATTAAATAATTAATAAATAAATATTAGTGGCTATACGAAAAATATTTTAAAATTGAAGTTGTTTAAATGCATTTTTCTTGGATATGAGAAAGTTCCATCTTCGACTTCAAGCTCCTGTGTCTTTGATTCTTTTCCACGGTTTAATGATGGAGATGATAAGATGAAGACGATTGTGTCATAGTTTATTTTTATTGAATTAATTTTTAAAAAAATATTAATTAAACACATATAATACTTTTAATCTAATTTAGATATTTTAATTTATGGTCGCACACTTGATTTTGATGAGTGAGTCTTTCAACGAGGATTTTCTACATACACAAAAGACTCGAACCTGGGATCTTGCGTAAGAGATATCAAATTGCTTACAACTTCAACCAACCCCGTTGATTAATTTATATATATTAAATACGTTAAAATATTTTTTGAGATTGTTAATATAATTTTGAACCCAATATTAACTGATCATACTCAATTGAAGAGATTATTATGCACCTAAACTCTATTCAGTTACAACATCCAAGAATCTGTCAACTACAACATACTACTATAATATAATATTAAACAAATTATCTATTTGGTCACTTATTTATATATTTCTGTTTTTTTAATTTTAAAAAAAAACTATACTCAACACTAATTTTATTTTTGTTTTGATTATTTATCGTTAAATTTAAAAGTTGACTTAATTAAAATAATAATATGGCATCGCATAAAAACAATTTTGATCTAAACAATTTACGGATTAAAATTAGAACGATACACTTTGTTACCATTCATCCCTGCATGTATAAATTCAAATCTTAAAATCACAAAGTTGAAACATAATTTAGGCATTTACTACTGTTGGGAATCTAAATTTGCAGCTCATGCAAGCAATAATTGTCTAACTCAAAATGGACAAGCTAGGTGAGTTTGAAGGACATTGTTCCCTTCCCTCGTACAACCTAAATTCACAAATATTCTCTCCTTCATGAGATTACAAAATGCAAAATCATCAAACATATGATCTACAGCAAAAAAAAAAAACTCCTGAACGCACACATGGTGATGAAGATAGTAAAAGAAAATAGAGAAGACAACCGACAATGGCATAAGAAATGTCATTCGAAATTCGAACCCAAAAGGAAAAGAAAAGACAAAAGCTTTTCATATGGGAATTAAATGGAAGATAGAGTGATCATGGATTTAAATAGCGGTCCTCTATCGTAATAGCACCGATGTAGGGCAATAATGATACATCAACCACTATTTAAATAACAAAGCATGCATGCGTGGTAAACCCTGCATATCCTATACGAATAATTTTCCTCCATATTCATCGAAGGAAAAACTTCAACTGTGAATATCAGTTTTCAATGAATTTATAGCTACCATTCTTCATTTGCCACGGTTTTAACAAGTTATACGCCATGTTCTCAGAATCAGAAGCAGGCTCGTTTCGGTGAGTAGGAAAAGTGTGTGTATGCTAACTGGCCCAGTGGTACGATCCAATGCTTTAAAAGGAGCAGCTTTACCCAAGTATGACTCAGTTGAGTTCGGGGTATTGATGGAATGTCAACGTCACTCTCACAGCTACAGCTATTATTCATAACTTCACAACGGTCGATAAATTTTTCTGCAAGCATGTGGTCATTTTTCTGTTCAAAAGAGTTACTAACAAAAGCAGTAAGCTTCCTCTTGCTAGGTTCATTGGACTCGGGTACACCCATATGCTTTGGGGTACCTTTTCTGTATTTATTAAGATAGACAAAATCAGAAAATTTGAATTTCGGTGCTCGAGTTTAAAAGAGTGATGTCAATATTTTTTTAAGTCGTAATAATTTTTTTTATATAGAACTTATTAAAGAATTTTTTTCCCAAAAAATTCAAAATTTCCATTAAAGTGCTGTTAATTTTTTTTTAAAAAATTATATAAAACTAAGAAAAATCCAAAAGTTATTTTCGCCAATGTATGTGAACGATGGTGCACCCGCGTGCTCGTCAGAGTTGGACAGAGGTGATAGAGCCTAAGCATTATCCGGTTGAGACAAAACACCAAACCAAGTTTACACGGATTTGTTTTTATAGCCTGAACGAAAGAACTATTTGCTTTATGTTTTTGTTTCATAATTTTTATTAATTTTTTAATGAACTTGGTCGAATCAGTGACCCAAATCAAAATCCAACCAGCTTGATAAGCATGGGTCATCAGCATAAGGCGGCGAAAGCAGATATTCAACTGGTGCCAGAAGATAAGGAGCACGCAACCCTGAGAGGCTCCCTTACAGAAATCGTTGATTAGATCGGGTCAATTTTTTTTGAGCAGCGGGCAGGAGAAGATGTGCTATGGTTTGATCATTGCAGAACTTAAAGTACAAACTCAAATTAGATCTTTCTATTGAACAAATTTGGCACATATAACATATTTGATCTTGCATTAAAGCAGAGAACCGCAATTTTATATGATGTTCTAGCTCATGCCTTTGTACCAATTTTATCTCCAATTTCTCTCTTCATTCCTACACATTTCCCCAGTAAAGGCATTCAAGGAATGAACATCCGGATGTTCTTCCATGGGAATCAAGATTTATCCAATTCAAGTGGTGAATCCGCTATGCTAGTCCCCACATGCGGAGGTGCCGTATCTTCAAAGCCATGAATGGCACACCACTTCTAAGACAGCGTTGCACCTCCAACTCAAACGATATAAGGACAAGCATAACTAGTACCCATATTGATCATTCAACTTAGTTCTCCCGTCACCAGATTGCCCTGCAAGGAACATAAATCTTTTAAATAAAAACACTACAATTCCTATGAATGGAATCAGGTTGTGATCCATTCATAAGTACACATTACAGATGCTACGGCTAAACCCAAATTTCTGGTTCACTGACACTAAGCAAAAACTAAAATGAATACCTTCAGGAGGAACCCATGTTTCATCAGGATTGCTATCAAGAAATGAAGGCTTCTCAGGTCCAAGCACTCGTTTCGGCATTTTCTCCTTAGATTGATTTCTGGCTAACAGATCAGGGGTTTTATGCAACTCCTCATCATCTGCATGGTACCCTCTAGTGTGCCTCAGTAACAGTGCCACAGCATTCTGCGCAATTTCTTCAGCACCTGTAGAGGATGCCGTAGATTGATCCGACGCTTTACCAGCATCTTCATGTTTCTCAACCTGTTTCTGTTTCCTTATAATCAGACCAGGGGCAGCAGTTTCAATTCCTGGCTCTTTAACCTGTGGATTGTCAACAATTCCAAGTACTTTCTTCCTATCTTTGTAGTCGACAAATTCATCAACTTTACTTGTATCTACTTCTATTACTTGATTTGACTCTTTAATCTCCTTGTTCTCAACAGCACCAAGCCACTGTGGCTTTGCATTGGTATTGATAGCCTTTTTCCCTTCGGATGTATCACTAACAAGATTCTCTTCTGGTTTCTTTGTTGATTCTGTAGAGACGTCTGCAATTCCCTCTTTCTGCATGGGAGAATTTACTGGTTCTGTAGATGTACTGATTTTTTTAGGTTCCTTTTGAGTCTGCTTCTGGACAACAGCTGCAGGAGGTTTAGACTTTTCGGGTGCTGGTACTTGTGCCTTCATATCCCTTTTCTTAGCAGCTTCTCCCATTGGATCCGCAATCTTCAACAGGTAGGAGATCCGCTCCAACTCAGTCTGAAGGGCAGAAAGTTCCTTCTCAAGTTGCACTGTCCTATCAAGCACTGATGGAGAAAGAATCAGCCTAGTTGGCTACACGCATTTCACTACTTACTCTCTCGGCTTCATTAGATTGCCAAGTAAAAGTTCTTCCTTTTTGTATTATCCATGACTCGGTAGTTTATTCATTAATTGTTGGAAAACATTTTTGCTTTTGTATGCTAAGGCTTCTTTTTCTATTTTGCTTTCAAAGGAAAAAGTAGCAAAAGGTTCGATTAGAAGAAGCCTGAGAAATAAGTTAAAGGACAATGTTTAACTATTTCCACCATCAGCATTCTGCATATTTTATAAGCTTGAAGGAATATACACATACAGAGAGACACATATTGTAGTTTAAAAAGAACTCACCTAGATGGGATGAAAGCCCAGACATGTAAGCATCAAGTGCATCTCCAGCTTCAGTTTCTAAGGCAGTTTCTGATGCCATTTTATTCTTCTCACTCAACAGCAACTCTTTCTTGTCTTCAATTTCTTTTGTGATGGCCTCTCTCTTATCAAGAAGACTATCAGCGGTTTCAATAGACTGGGTTTCACCAACTATTTGCACAGTGGGTTTCTTCTTTGTCCGGTCATAGAAGTCATCATCATCACTGAAGAACCAAAAATCATT